CATACATCCAGTGTTCATCTCCTCAGTCACCAGACTGCTCAAAGATGACAATGCACTTCTGCGTCTGACTCTTACACCCTCTTTTTCACCCTACATAGATATTCCAAGTTCATTAAACGCGTAGTTACAACAAACTACAATTATAAATTTTAATATTATTGGAAGTACATAATAAACATTTCTACACAGGACAATAATATTTGTTTACACATAAAATTAAAGTTAGCATAGCGGGACTAGTTAGCTAATGTACCAAAATAAACATAGTTACTACATAAAATATATATATTTATCAATCACTCCTTGAGGAGCCCAGTTTCTTTCTTTTGTGTTGCTGTTGTTTGTCTTCTTTTTTCTCTCACCATTTTAGCTTCTATATCACTTTTTGAATGAGAATAAAGAATGTAGATATTGGACCACTCGCAATGACAAATGATCTGCAAACATTATTGGTCCCATATCTTTCAGTTGACTCGTGGATTACGCATTACCTCCCCCCACGACGCAACCTAGATTACAGTTGTTGAATATACCTTTATATCAATGAAAAAGTAATAAGTTATAATACTTCATGACTGCAATTTATAACATAACTGATCGTGTCTGTAAAAATAGCTTGCACTTCTTGAAAACACCCCTTTATAGGAAAATATAAATTATCATTATTATTAGTCAACGTTGAATACAATTCACTTGTGTTGTTACGAAGAAAATGCTAACAAAAGTATACAAGTGTATTACTTATTTTATACTACTATCAAATTTGGATATAAATCAAGAATAAGACTCGATGCCGTACACACCAAGGTTATATGGAGGAATGACTTCAAGCTTTATTCTTTTCCCAAGTATTTGTAATCCATCCAAAGCGTACTTGGGTATTTTGTTAATGCGAAGACAATATTTCTTTATTTCCTGGTGTATTCCACTGGATGACTAGTTAGCAGATTGTTCCCGCAAACTAAAGACAAAAAAGACGGCAACGACGTGATTTCATCATAAAGTGTGTTAGGCCTCAATAAGTTGTAGTAGTAATAAAGATCACGTGGTTACTAAATCAACAAATTTTGTGCAGCTACCGAACTTTTTTCTCTATCCATTACGTGCGATATATGAGTTCCACTTGATTGCTAAAGTAAAATGATGTAAACCATAGGTGATGTTTAAAAACTTCCCGTAATTCTTAGCCGATAGAACACTTGAAACGAACTGGTTGCTATCCGGAACACTCACTAGATGGGCAGAAAAGAAGTCATTACTTCCCTTCGCTGTATTAAAATGGGGTGAAGCAGTGTAAGTAAGTCTTCACGAGGGCTTTGTTTCTGAACTGCAATCAGTTAAGCTTATCCCCAGCTCGGTTTACAGTTTAGTCACTATATGTTTCAAAGGCAATTTTTCAATCGAAAAAAGATGTTTCCGTCATCTTTACAGAAGCTGAATAGTGGCAGAAACCACACGATCCCAAGCAATAATTTTTCAAACGGAATGAAATCTTCACTGAGTGTGCATATTGCAACAACTTTTCTCCTTTTTCAAACAATTAAATACATTAAATTTTAAGTGTTAAAGCTTCAGAAATGGATATATAATACTGGTGCTGGTTATAATTTCCTGTTTATTTACAGATTAAGGGCAGGTTTGCAAACTCCCTTCATGCAAAACCCATGCTAGATATGGTTTGGCTGCATTTTTGTATTCTGCTGTTTGGGAAATTCTCCTCGTTTATTCCGAAGAAATACGAGGACGAAATAGAGAAGAGAGGGGATGTTCAGTATCCGACAAGATTACATCAGCCTATTGCTTGCAAAATCAAAGAGCCTGTCAAAAACGATGTGAGTTGATCAGGTCAGTGGTGTCCCGCTGACCCTGGTTACGACCCTCAGAGCTCTGTGCAATAGTCCGTTTTAAGGAGCTTAGGAAGGAATACGAATGAAAAGAGATTTGATGGCATTGATGAATTAATGGATTCTAGGAGAGGAGGACGAGCTACGCAAGACAGCCTGAACCGTCATACGTATTAAGTCAAACGAAAAATTTTCTTAGGACTAAACAAGGTATGAGATGACTTAAAAAGATGTGCAGATACCAAGATATGTAGTATTCCATCGATTTGCGATCACGGTCCCTTCAGTATTACAAGATTCATAGGGTTTAACGCGTCCACTTAAGTCCCGTTTACACCAGTTGCTAAAATTAACAGTCTGGCATTTAGAGGGATTCAGTTTAAGACTTCTGGTTCGTTCCAAATAAGAACGTATTCATTTCATAACGGTCTAATCCAGAGACAAGTGGGGCAGAAATTGCAGGAGTATCAGCACATCTAACGCAGTTGGCTTAGAAGAATATAGCGTCTCATGCATACCTGTTTTCGTAAGCGAAGAAGTAGAGCGCTTGCCATTTGAAAACGGTGTGTCGTCTCCTACCTGACAACTACTTTGTGAACAAGGCTCCAGTGCATGCCTAATTCAGCCAGCTAAGCAGAAGTGCCCTAGGAACAGAATCGAAAGCAGCAGTATGGTCCAAAAAGGCAGATCAGACAAATTGGGCACATTTATCTAGACAAGTGGAGTACAACAGAAACACCGAAAGTGCCTCCACTGAGTTTATGAGGAAATTCCCTTGGGGTTGCTGAGAAATTTCAGAGAGCGTTCAAAGAAATACGTATTCCTCAGTTTTCGGCAGCAGAGACTCTATAGTCATCGGTGTAAACTTAATGCCCTATCCAGAGGTTGATGACTTTGGTACAGGTTCAGTCTATATTTCTTTCCAAGTGACATGCACTGTATCCCTGTTATATGATGAGTTATAAATGCGGAGGAGTATGACACAGTATATCTTCACGCTTTCAGGGTAAAATACTTGGCACTCCATCAGGACCTAGATTGCGTGATGACTTCAGAGATTTGTGACAGGTCAATAAAGCATTTTCATCAAAACCTCGGTAATAATCATTTAAGTGATAGTATGTATCACGTACAACTAAATGAGCTGGTTAACTCTGGAAAGACCCGTTCAAGGTATTCACTTCAGAACAAGCATTGAGAAAAAATTTCATTTAACTTGTAAGTTTATCAAACATTTTCTGGATATTTCAAACATTTTGAAGTGAGAAAACGTTTTCTGTATATATTCCACTAGGTCTTCGTATTTCGCCTTTAATTGAGAGGTTCACTGTCTGAAGAGCAGCATTAACGTGTGATTTGTACAGGTTCTCTCTCGCTGCTCCAAGCTGTTTCAATTGTTGAGCATAGATCCTCAAGAATCGTGTGTCGACAGAACAGCAAATGTTCAAGCAGGGCGCATATAGGTGAATGAACTACAAAAAGTCATTCACTGCAAGCGGTAGACCACCAGCCTCCTCTATCATTAGATTTGTGACCTATATGATTCATCAGGTTGACATCGAAGCAACTTTCAGGATTGTTTATAAAACCATTTTGGTGCACACTGAAATACACCTAGGCGATGACCAGCTGCACTCAGTATACACAAAAACGCTACCTTGTTCTCCTAATCCATTTTGTTGGTCATTATCCGATCATATTGTTACAACTGAAGGCAAGACACGGGAGCTAAGGCATATTTTTCATTAATAAAGTCGCTATTTATATATCTACAGTTTATGTTCGTTAACCAATCACCGAGCGTGTGCTTTCGGTTTACATCAAACGATATCAAATAGAATGCTCAAATATACGTAGTATTCTGTTGCCAATGCAGTAGTGAACTGTAGGAATAACATTCCGACTCTGACATCAAATCGAATGCTAAAACAGATATATTGCATGCAGTAGCAATATGTGAGCATAATATTCCGTTGGCAGACATTGTCTGTATCACACTAGCACAACATTACCAAAAGTAGTGTACATTATTCTTTTAATTAAAGTTATATCTCTAATTGCTTCCTTCACTTCTCATGATGTTTCGGCCCAAATCCTCATATAAATACAAATAAGAACCAAAAGTGAGCAAACCGCTCGAAAAGTATTGCGAAAGCACTTTGCATATTCGAGATACAATTCTTATCACAAAGCTTTCCTAATTGTTCGCCAAAAAGAAATGACCGAAACATAACCGAATGCTCACATTTCTTCAGCCTGCTGCAAGTGCACCATCAAAGAATAGCTTAGAACGCGGCCAGATAATAACACAACGATAGATATAGGAATACCGATTAATTTGTATGGTGATTTATGCAAACTGCGTCACCAATATGCGTGGATTTATAATTTGTTTCATTCAGTGCCTTTAGGAAGATCCTCATGACAGTTCTTCAGTCCTATCTTCTCTTTCTGCTGTTGGTCCACAAGTGTGTTAATGTTCAGAATGATTTTTATCTAATATCATTTCATTTTCCTGCCCAGACTAACTGACTAAACGGTATAATTATTAATCCCGAACCCCGCAGTTCCACTGTGTCAACATAAATGACAAACAAGCCAGAGATGTTTTCAGAAAGTATCAGGGAAACCACAAGAGTGATGACAACATTAAAATACATCGGATTACTAGCACTATTTTGCTCTTTATAATTAATCCGCCATCCAGAAATCAATTCCGTTTACAGTTGGTACGAGGATTCTGGTTAGTAGATATGCTCTCACCGATCTCATCTAAAAATTGTCTGGGTTAACTGAAAAGCTAACTATTAACTATTTGCATTTAATTTAGCTGATATATTAATCAGTTTTATTCACTTTTGCATTCAGGAAACTTGGGTGCTTATGTGGATAAGTCTACAATCTTACCAATGTATCTGCTTAACCAGTATGTACGAAATATAAAAGAAAACGAAATGTGAAGTTTTATAACCGAAGAGATGTCCTTGGTTGTTTAAATCCTCAACTTGCAAATTAAGGTCACACAAACGTTTAAAAAGCATTCGTAGTATTCGTGCATTGATATTGTGTTTCTGTTAAGGAAGCCAACCAACAACTGCGAAGCAAAGTCGTTTACTACTGTGAAAATGGGAGGCTATCGTGATAACTCTAGCAGTGATGAGGATACGAGACGTCGACGAGGTTACGGCTACAACACAAATGTAAGTTAGTTAATGGAATATATATTTGTAAGTATGCTTTGAGAAACTACACAAAATAGAGACGTTTTAATTTTGTAGAAGCTAAACATAGCTCATAAGACACACCTATTTTCCACACCATAAACAAGGATTTCACATGAACAGAAGCGCGTTCCATTCACTGCTTTGTACTATGACCTCTACATTTTATATTTTACAATTTCAGCATTGAATTTGGCCTATACATTTTTCTTTCATTTTCCCAAACTTGATGATAGCTGTTAAACAATGAACTTACGTGATTCTGCTATTTTCATTTCAGCAGATCTATGGTGGAGGAAATTCACCATACGGCTATCCACAACAACCAGTTTATAATTATGGTGCAAGAAGACACAGTGGGAGTTCTGACTCGGTAAGAGGACATTAATTAATTACAGTGTTGTGAAGGGTTTCATAGATTTTATCTTTCTTTTTTGTTTGTAAAATTCACCCAGGTTAGGCACATTTAAATTTCGGTATACACCGGGAGAAGCTTTCATTTTTTGTGGTTACATTATAAGTTTAGGAACAGATCATGTAAAACTTAATAACATCTTTGAATATGTGTATTATTACTCCAACATTTTGAACCTAAGCATCGGATTTCAGTCATCAGATAGTGAAATGAAGGGAGGCTGGAATAATCAGTTGTATTCATACAGATATAGTGATATTTCCTGTTAAAATATGTTCATTGCCGATTAAATGTCGGCGAGTAAGCGCAATTGGATCTATGTATGATCTAAGGCATAAATAAGAAATACGTTCCTTCCTGAATGACCTCCACTGCCAAACTGAATGGGACTGAGAGGAGCTTTTCTGTCAGACACAACAAAGTGATTATTATCTCACCCATCATCACGAAGACTATTGATCTTATAATAAGCGGATGCATAATTTGCAGTTACATTTTCATTGTTAAACTCCAGTATGAAGAAGACTTGTTTGAAGTGAGCACTGCTAGAATAATTTGCTATTATTTTTATCTTAGGACCATTCGGATCACCGAAGAGGATCTTCACGGTACCGAAAGTATGTTATTTTTGTACTTTTGTTTACTCCACATTTTTCAGGCTTATAAATAGCATAGAGCTTCTGTTAAAAATGATCTAGTTTTGTCTGATCACTTGTTGAGAGACTGTAAATTATTTATTGAAGACAAACATTTGAAAAAAGAAATGTTATGAGAATGACAGTGTTGCTTTTCATCAAGTCGTTACTGAAGAACAGTATAGTTCTTTGCCTAGAGTAGACACTCTAAACTAAACTACTTTCCTCAATTATAAGCTACCACCTTACTGCTAACAGAATACTTATTCGGCTAATTTCGAAAATATTGTGATCACTATCAAATGTTTGCCTGTGCTATCCCCCAAGTTATCAGAGTCTTAAAACAGCCTGAAGTGGTGAAGAATATCACATTTCCACTCGTTTCTTGCGTTCTGAGTGGAACATGAGGCTGAAGCACCATATCTCTACTGCATTCTGTTTTTACCATCATTTTCAGCTGGATTCACGAATGTTTCAGAAGCTCCACCAAGAAACCCTCGGATGCTCAACTAAACATCCCACCCAAAGATATTATGTGTGATTTCACATGAATGTTTCCTCAGTTTATGTGTAGTTCATCTCAATTTCCTTCTGTCTATCTCTTTAGTAATAGTTTCTGGGTTGTTTCGTTAGCCGTGGCAGTTTATTGTCGCTTATTATTTCTTGCTGCGCGACAGATGTTCAATATTGAGCGGATGCTTTTATTGACGAAAGTCTGCAGTGACCTTTTGTAAATATATTTTGGGATGCGCCACGCCTTTAAAGCACACAGAAGCACTCACTGACTTGACACTGGTGTTAAAAGATTGAATCTTGCCCCTTATGCTAAGCTGTGTAGATATCCAAAATAACTTTGGTATAATGACTGCCTGTCTTACTTTCCCAGTCTGGTCCTTGCTGGCCTTAACACTCTCGTCCTCGCTGCCTGTAGTTAAAATGATGCTACCGAGGTCAGATTAGTAAAAGAGAAGATTTGTTTTAGATTTCTCCCATTGATGGTGATTTTGGCTTGTTGTTGTTGGTCGATTATCTTCATTACCTGCCTTCTCTGTGTTCACTGAATCGATATCTTCCTCTATACTCTCATCACTGTAACGTATATTATTATTATACCCATCTGCTGCATGATCCAGTGTGCCACAGATTAAAACCATCTGTGTGAGAATTTAGGGATGAAGAGTGAAACTTTCGTGACAAAATAGCACTAAGCTAGCTGTACGAGAGTTTTGTCTGGTATTCTAGAATATACAATTAGTATGCAGGACAGAAGATATTAGAGATGCGCTGCTGAATCCGTTTATCCATTTGGACCCCAGAGGAATAATAATGATAACAATGATAATGATGTGGTGTTCAATATTATTAAATATATAATGGACTGATCTCAGAAGTGATCGCAGACACATCAGCCAAATCCATACTTTTTGTAGGTTCCGAAAAACAAACATTTTCAAAACTCTAATTAAAAAAAGAAGCTTCAAAAGAGGTTATGTAAAAAGACCAACAGAAGTCGCTCAAAAGTCAGTTGTGCATGAAATGTTGCTGTTTACTGTAGAATGAGATTGAATAAAGTCAAAGGCTTTGGACTGTAATACGGTAATTGTTCATAAATATATGCACTGTTCAGAATAATAAAGGGACTTGTCTCTTGTAGTTGCACACTTCATTAGATCTATTTGGCAAATTGTTGCAGTGTGATAAATGGATTCACTCTCTTTACTTTTCATATTGTTAACTGCTTTACCGGCTATTATTTACATAGTTAGGTAGAAACGAAGCATCAGAACATATTATGTGAGTGTGTAGATTACTTTCTGTTTATCTCTACGGTTGGCCATTTCAGTTTCAAACTAAGCGAAATTACTTACATTTAGGAAACCACATAGTATCAGTACTGTGACTAATATCTTATACACTAACAAACATGGTTTCCATGGAACATTTTGATTTCAACTTTGATTTAAGTAGACGACAATGATGGTAAGTTCAAAGCATTCTGATTTGAAAGCCATACTTTTAACTGCTAAGTTTAATCCGATTCTACCATCAAGAGGTGTCTACTGTAGTTATGGAAATGAAGTCTGTACCTAACCACATAAGTGATTAAGAAATCAGCTTATACTTGTCGCCTTGTAGTGGTTATTAGAGATGATACAAGTGAAAAGTTGATTCAATGGGTACAAGAAATAAGGTTTTAAACATAATGACTACGAAGTTTGTCATTTACACTTGTTTCGTATTGTGGACCATATTTTTTTAACTGACAATGCTGTTGTACGATGGTGGTTAATTTCATGTGACTCCGTGTCATTTTTTTTATGGTTTCGTGAAGGTGAAGTCGTTCAGCTTTTAGCAGTCACTCTTGTAGTCAAGACTTTTACCTTCTCCCCAGCAAATGCTTTTAACCACTTCTAAAGTGACCCTCATTTTTTATCTTTCTATCATGCTCTGAACTTCATCTTACTGCGTTGACTACTGAGGAAGATAAACAATGTTTCGAGCTCTGTCTGATAGCGAAACATTGACAATAAATCTTAACTTTAAAATACGATTTTATTAACAATATTCCTCTGCTAAATCTTTTGTTAATATAGCCAAGGAGGGTATGGCGCAAATTATCGACGTTACTCAGGTGATCGTCATTCAAGTTCTGAGTGAGTGATTCACTAACATAGATTTCATAAAATATTTGACTCAACCTTATTACACCCTGTGTAACTGAAGTATACGCACAACCTAGAGACAGTCTGGTGTGTAAGACTATAATATAACTATAAATGATTCCACTAGCTAGTTCATTTTATCCTACGCAAAGTTACCTGTGTATTTTTTAATTAAGGCTCCCTAAAATATCATTTTCTCTCACCATATAACAGTCAAAATGTCTCAGACCCCACATATATACAAATTCTTGTCTCTGTCAAATTTAAAGTTCCGGTGTTCAAAACAAACAGTGAACCTTTTGATTATAATGACTTAGGAAAAGCATCCATGCTTTAGAATTTTATTGTAATGATGTAAACAAAAGTTTGTCATTTGAAGAAAATATGCCTGGAATACAAAAGCATTTATTTATAGCGTTAAGTATGTAAGCTAATCATTGAGTTGAATTGATTCTTTATGGTAAAGTATTACACCTTTACAGTGGGCCTATATCTGATACACTGAAATCAGCGTGATCCAGTTTTGACGGAAGATGTAACAAAGCCGCAGACGACATTTAGCCGTTGACCTGACTGCTACAGGTTCAGTCATCACTGACTTATATATATATATGTATATATATATATATAATAGCTATGCAAACTGAGGATGTTAAGGATAGTGATTTTATGAACCCGTATTGCTACATATATTTCCAATTAAGGCAAAATGTTTGAACACATTACATTCTAGTCAAACACCGAGACTACTGAAATATACAAAAATTATATCTACTTATTACTTGATACTCATTAATCCAGAACACACTTATTGTGTGTAATAGTTTTAAGAAATCAGCCGAACATTTCACGACTATTACTTGAGCACGAATATCAGAAAATGACAGGTAACCTGGTGGAATTCATTGTCAGGATCAATCTTATTAGACAGTGTACATTTATGAGATAGTTCTGATAATTATGTCGAAGTATTTATTTCATTTACCTTTATTACCACTTCTTTTGTACAGTGAAGGGAAACGAAGCAGAAGATTGTACTAAGGGACACTTATTGCCAACAACCATTACCGGGTTTTCTGTGAGTTTATCAGTTCCCGTCATTGTTATAAAAAATCTTTCTTGAAGATTAAAAAGTGTTCATTTTTCGTATCACCAAATAAATATACAATTCGGATAGGATTTTATAGCAAACAGTTAAAATTTATTGATGGTGGTGTATTTCGGGGTTCCCTGGATGAATCGCTTCTTTGTTCAAACTTCAAAATTATTACTGGTTCATGGACCTCTTTGCCCAGGTACTAAAACAATCAACATGCGTAGTAGTAATTTATGTTCCTCCAGACTGACGCGTTGTGTTCAGAAGCAAAGATTAATCACAAACTGGGGCACAGGGATATTACGGGTTGCCTACTTAATGTCTACTCTTCACCTTAAAGCTTATGAGTACACATAACGAACTAAAATTTTAGTCGTATAAAATAGTGCTGACAGGTAAATATTATCCGAAACATACTGGTACTTTTGAATCAGCACGACAGAATTTTAGATATATATATATATATATACATATATAGACGGCCAATTCTCGATATCTTCCATTGAGTCTGGTGTTTCTGACCCAACAAAAACTGCTAAGACAAGAATGCGAAAACCATCTATTGATATATTCACAAAGTCGGATTCCCTCATTTCATTTCATAATAGCTTGACTTGGTATCTACTAAAACAATACGTCATACGTTGTCGTTGGCTACGACACATGAAGTGCTCGCATCATAAGTTCTTAGGTGAATTAATTAGTGTCTGCTGTTTATACTGTAGTGGAGAACAAAAATGCATAATATTAGTCGTGAAAATCAGATATTTCCGTAGTCAGATTCATCATTGTGAACTCAAAACATGTCACATCTGCGATCACTACAACAGTAATATCTAAACTTAGCCTTTACATACACCAAAGTTAAATGTAAACTAATTGTCACTTTGCATTTCAGATAATGAATGATAACCCAAAGTGACCGCAAACAAAGAATCAAATGAACAACTCGAACCAAAACAAATATAACATATATTACACATATATCCCGAAATTATAAAAACTCAATTTCTGTAATAATATAATATAAAATAAAAATTTAAAGCAAAAAATAATATTCTCATTCAAACCAAACTATTGAATTATCCACAAGAAAACTTCCCTTTGGTTGTTGCCATCTTCCATATCCCCAGTATAGGCGTTGTACCATTCCGATTGCACGTGTGCGGTGTTCAATCGATGAACAATACTTCAGTGAATAACCGCAATCTCCACCGAGCTATGTTAATTTGTAATACTCTTACCCTGTCCCACCCTATTTTGTGACTGCATGCAAGTGAATTCATTGCAATGACTCAGCTTTTTTCTAGGTTATTTAACTTAGCAGTATCACTCATTCTAGCACTAGCTAAATCCTTATGCTCCAATAATCTAGTTGACCCTGATCTACTAGGTTGACATTGACATTGATTGATTGATTTACAGCTTGATTCCACACCGTATTTTCAGTGCAAGTGTGGAATTTTCAGCATGGATATCGGTAGCCCAAATTCAGGCCAACCATAGATATCGGGTGTGCGCCGGCAAGGGATCGAACCCCGGACCATGTGCATGGTCGGCGAGAGTCCTAACCACTGTGCCACCGACCTATGTAAATGACCTCACGGTCAGCATTACATAGTATTCGGCAAATGATATGAATTACTTTTCTTAATTGGATCTCTTTGGTCCTTAAGCCGACAAAGTTTATCTCTGAGAGAGTTGTTTGGTTTAAATGCCACGCTAATTCCAGAGTCACTGAGAATTCTATGTGAGACCTCTGACTTCCTTTCTTTATACGGCAGTGCTACAGAGGCTTTGAATTCTATATTATTTTCGCCACTTTTATTGCTAATCTTAGTAAACACCATTGTTCTTCATATCTTTCTGAATTAATTCTGGTTGGTAGTTATTCATTTGCTATATATACCTAATTTGTTTGATTTCATTAATTAAACCCTCTGACCTGCTAGTTAAGCTGTTGGCCTTATTATATAGACATTTAACTAACCCTATCTTTACCGATTCAGGATCCGACGAATTAAAGTCTAGGTATTTATTAGAGTATGTCAGCTTCCTATAAATGCTAGTATCTAACCCATCATCTTGTTTTCATTTTATTCCACAGTAGAGCATGACCAACTCACTCTGTTCATTTTCTAACTCAGAACTGAAGTGGATTCCGTCTACTACTGAGTTTATATGTGTGAAAAAAATGAGGGATATCTTCAGATTTCAACACAGTGAATGTGTCACATGTCTCCACCATAACCTAAGAGCCAGATTAGATGTTCTTAGATCTTTATGTTCTTAACTGTCCATAAATATGTCTGCTACTATTGTGTATGGTGGTAATCCCATTGCCACTCCATTCGTTTTTTCATGCATTTTATTTTAAAATTTAAATAAAGTGGAGGTTAGACCTAACTGAGCACCTAATATTATTTCATCAACCGAGAGCTTAGTCCTACTTTCGAGTTCAGGATCAATGTTCAGTTCATTCCTAACAGACTCCAACGCTGTATTAGTGGGAATATTAGTATATATAGACTGGTTATATCAAAACTAATCATTTGTTTCGTCTTCTTCTAATTGAGGTTCCTCTAGTTTCTGTTTCATTACATAGGAATTAGTTAGGCCAGAATTTAACCTATCTCTAATGAGGCATAATATTATTGCTAAATATTTAGATAACTCGTACGTCGGGGTGTTCCTAAAGTCAACTACTGGCCTGATGGGGTATCCTGGTTTATAAATTTTTATAGTCACATAAATTTTACTGGGATTAATAGTTTTACTCATAAGATTAAACTATTTTGACTCACCCAAAGATAACTTCATATGACGTACCAGATCACTAGTAGATATTTTGACTTTATTCATCACAGTGCCCACAGGTTTTTTAACTACCTCATGTGGTTATGTTTCAATATGTTGACTGACCTTGTTTTGTGATATGATTATGAGCAATAATTTATGCTCGAAACTTCATGCAGTTATTAATACTGCATCACTGTGTGATTATATAAATAAGCTTATCCCCTGTCGACGTACACCTGATATCAAGGGTTGGCCTGCAAATTTGGGATAAACATAAACTCGGGGTATCAATTTGGTGTACGCCAACACCAAAATTTACAATCACTGTAGGTAATTTGGATTAGCTAAATATGAAAAATTGAATGTCCCATTACGTTCACTTGTATATCTTACTTAATCCCCAACCTACAAACTCTCTAAATACTTTTCGAGAATACTAAACCCATACGAAGTCAAAGTGGAATATGCAGTGAAAGATTCGTATCAATTTAAGAGCAAAATTACTTCTGCATATATTGAAGAAGATGAAATAATGGCATGTTTCGATGTTTACTCATTATTCGCGAATGCGCTCATTAAAAATTCTTTAGGTGTTATCCATAATTTACTTCGCTCAGACAACGAACTCAGTGTTGAACGTCGTCTAAACACAAATGAAATCACCAGAACCATTTCTATGCTCCACGTTATTTACATTTAGAAGGGTTCTTTACCGTCAAACAAAAGGTATAGCTTTGTGGTCCCTGGTGTCTCCATTGGTAGCTAGTCTAACTATGCACTCATTGGAAACAAATACAATCATTACATATCCTAATCCTCTAAGGATATAGTTAAGATACACGGATGATACCTTCGTAATAATCAAACTCAGTATTTTGATAAACAATATATCAAACACCATTAAATTTTCAGATGAGATGGGATCCGACGCAAATGATTTGGCTTTTCTGAACGGTTTGTTAAAATGACAACCAGGTGGTAAACTAACGATCTATATATTCAGAAAGCCTATACATTCGAATGGATACCTAGACTACTGTTCAGCATTTCCCTTTACCACCAAAATAACTGTTACTAAGAATCTGATAATCAGAGCCAAACTTCTAGAAACTGAGGCATAAGAGACCAACGTGAATTAAAATTGGTTCAGTCTACTCTTGAATCAAATAGTTACCCGAGAACATTTGTTCAAAGATATTTAAAAAGTTAAGACAAAGATTCATCAAAACCTGCTCCTAAGGACTGGGTTGGTGCTGTGGTAATTTCATATCGCATAGAAACATCAGATAAAATAAAGTGAATCCCTAACAATCATGATATAAGGGTGTGTTTTCATACAATAAACACCTCACGCTCATTAGTAGTGAAAGTTAAGGATAAAGTAGAAGACAACCGACAAAACTACGTGCACCAGACAAATTGTAGGTATTGTAATGCTTTGCATGTGGGAGAAACTTCCATTTAGATAGATGTAAGAGCGAAAGAGGACAAAAAACGTCTATACGTGGTTCAGAAAACCTCTGCAGATTTTAAAAAACTTGCAAGCAAACTAGCGATTGCACTACAGTCGATGGAAATGGGACACAAGGTCGACCTTGATAGGACCAAAGTTCTACAGGTTGGTTTTGTCTCATAAGAAGGAAGATAGACAGCAGAAGCCTTATATATATGGGTGAATCCCAACATGCTGAAAACGCGTGGTGGCGTGATGTTAGCTGATGCATAGCAAGTCCTGATTAATAAGTAAAAAATGAATATATATATATCACTAATTTATAATGCTTACTCTGTATTCCGGTTGTTTATATCTTATAATGGAAAGCGTAACATATGATAAACAACTCTTCCACCATGCACAGACACATTTTTTTATGTTGCATACTTGTATTTCTGAAAGAATTCATTCATTCTTAGAGTTGCTGCCGGAGAAGTCTCCAGTTCTACAGTTGGATGCCTATCAGCCGTAAAAGAGCTCTCATCATCTCGCTAGCCCACCGTACCACAAGAATTTGTCGCGATGACTGTTTAGAAGAAGAGCTCTTATTTTTCAAAAGCATCCTGGTTCAAAATGGATACCCACCGCGTTTCGTGGAGAAGAAGATGAGACCAAGGCCAAAAAGAGAAGAATACACTTCAGTGCCAAAGAAAACACTTTATTTGAATCTGGAATTCAGGGGAGACCTGGCGACAGATATCCTTAAAAAGAGAGTCTCCAATTCCCTGAAGAAGACTTTTCCAGTAGCAACTCTAGGAGTGATTTCTCCAGCCGCCCACTACTTCGGAGCAACCGCAAGGACAGACTTCCGTATATGACCACTTCAATGTGCATATATCAGTTCACCTGCCCTTGTGGAGCTAGGTACATAGGTCGTTCTATGCAGGTCTTATCAAGACATGTCGAAGAACATTACCCAGCATGGCTGCAAGGAGGAGGCACTGGTTCAATCAGAAGCCTAATAAACGAACACCTCGTCAATACCTGTCACAGAAACTCAACTGACACATCATTCAGATTCATTTACAAAGTAAACAAAAATCTACCAAAGGCACTGTGTTTCCGACTTCTTTGTACCGCAGAAGCTCTCGCCATATGCATCGAAAGGCCGGAGCTGTATGTCCAAAAGAAACTAATCCAGCCCTTACAACTGCCATAGACCGACTTTGATATGTTCCCTCATCCTTCAGTTTTTTTTGTTTAATTATTTCCCTTTGTCTTCATTCAATTCGCCCCATTTTTTCAGTTAAAAAAGCAGTTATTTTAAGTTTGTTTCCATGCTCCTCTTGATCAAATATCTAATCTGTTTAGAAAATCCATTTGAAAATTATATTATAATCCTGTGTAATATTTCTTGCCATGGCACTTTGAATCTATATTTGCACCTCCTAAATTACATTTCAAGAAGAAAATTTTGATTTCACTTTGTTTCCAAGCTCCTTTTGTTCACAACTGTAATTCACACTATCCCTGAGAAACTCATGACTCTAAGCATCTTGCATTTCATATCAAGATAAAAATTATAATCTCATTCGATACTACGTGTCATTAAACAAATACTAATAGTATCGCTATATCATAAACAATCCAAAATCGCAAAATACCATTGAGAAGAAAATAAAAATATC